GTAGATAAAACAAAACAAAATAATAATAATAATAATTGAGATGTGGCTGCACGCCACTTTCTAATTATTATATATTAATATTTATTTTATTTACTTTTCTTTTAATTCCAAATTACAAAAGAAAATATCTACTTTATTTAATAATAAATACATCTTATTTAAGTATGATAAATCTAATTTATCTTACTTAATTAATTCTATCAAATAGAACTCTCCTTCAGCTTCATGAATTAAATATGTTTAATCTAATTAATATTTAATTCATTTTCAGTATTACGAATTAAATATTATTTAATCCAATTAATAATATTTAATTCCTTCTAACAATTCAATCGGAAGGTATAATCACTTGTTGTGTGACCCATAGGGCCTTATATATTAAGCACTAATCAAATTAAGGTCTTAGCGAATCCCTAGACGATTCTCCAGACAAACTTAATATATAAGGACGTTTGCGAGGACTATACAAACTCCCTGTAATATAGAGCTCATAGTGATACGGTCCTTTCATTCAGCGAACATTCAACTAAGTCTAGAACATGATATAGTGTCTATCCCAATAACTCAGTCTCTGTCTCTCAATCTTTCTAGATGATCCATAACGATCATATTCGATATCCAAAACGAATATATCTTTGCATTGGCCAATGACTTTATGATCCATCTAGATATGAGAAGTAGAATGTTCTCTCTTAATCTATTATGAGGAATGAATCCTTTCTTGGCTCAACTACTACTCCATGTGCTTCGTGATGCACCCAACACATGCCGTATCTACCCCGATTGGAGTGCAAGCGTTGGTCATGGTCAAAGTACATCACTCCGCACATGTAGTACGTATTGACCTCAAGTCGGAGGACTATTACACTACTCTATACGCCGATAATCCCATAGACACATGAATAGAACTTATCAAATGGTTTCTCGGTGGGTATGCCAATATTCTCTAAAATATCTATGTGACCATCATGAATTACAGGAACTCATAGTCGTGAGATCAACTATACTTTCTAAAAGTATGATGCAGTCCACATACCAATCTTATCGTATATCATCAATATCCCATTCTTGATGATCATTGATTGGGGCTATTTTAGGACCTTATGTTATATCATATAAGCTCCCACTTACTTATTGACAACATAAATCCAAGGGAACACAATTATGAATAAAACATTGACAATCGAAAACAATCATTCATAAAGTGTAATACCGTGTATATATCAAATATAAAAACTAAATGTGATCAAGTACATATGTCTTTAAAGAAATGATTGTCGCTAGGACATATATACTAACATCAACATGCACTGTTGGACAAGATGCAGTGACTTCTACCCGGGATCTGATTAAATCAGTCCTGAACCTATTTGGGAATTGTCCAGAGTATTTGAGTGGCTAGGAGTAAATGTTCAATACATAGCAGGCAGTTGAGGTAGCAGACTCATCATTGATTATTGTTTTCCTTTTCACTTGAGCCTTCTGCTTCCTAATGCTCATAATTTTCACTCAATCACTTGCTCACTCACTCACTTATGCTCGGCTTTGTCCCTTGGGTAGGCTTAGTTGGGTTTACTAAGCCATAGGGACATGTTCTCTCATTACTTTCTTCATTTTCAACAGATTGAGTATTTGACCTCTGTCTCCTCCATGTTGGTAGACTAAGTCTTTTTGACTATTTGGAATGAATGCTTTTGAGGAGAACTTGTCGGTGGCACAGCGGAACATAATGATGGTTAACTTGTGAGCGTAGCTGACCATTTGAGTTTCGGAGATAGTAGAGAGAGTGTTGGAGGAGAGAAGTATCCCAGAATGATTTTTTTGAAAGTAAACAGCATGTGGACCACTCTCCCCCTCATGACGATCCGATAACTCGGGGCGTCATGCCTTTATTCTTTTATTCTGCGGAAATAAAAACAGGAAAAACAAGCAGAATGTGAAGGAGATAACGTAGCCCCCCGGGGTCGTGAAGACGCCCGTTATCATGACTATAGAGATAAACTCTTTAGCAATGGCCTGAAAATGTTGGTGATTCTTATGTTGCAACAGCAGGACTTCCTTCCAATTATTGGTCTACATCTGTAATAGATGAGCCCTATGGAAGTTCTCGCGGGTCATGTAGACCTGCAACTGACTCTAAAAGTGCGTATGTGTCCTAGAAAATTTCAAAACATTTGGGAGTGAGTAACTAGACACGACATGATCAATGAAAGTTCAGTGGCATGGGGCTGAGGCCACTGTAGTCAGTATTACTTGCCTCGGAAGGAGACAGTAATGAGAGATGCGGTTCCCCGTGAAATATGATTAAACATCTGTCTGTTGGGAGACAAGTGAGTGGTCTTGGGTAGGGTTCAACGTGCACTGTTGGACAGTCCAACATGCAGTGACTTCTACCCGGGATCTGATTAAATCAGTCCTGAACCTATTTGGGAATTGTCCAGAGTATTTGAGTGGCTAGGAGTAAATGTTCAATGGATAATAGGCATTTGAGGTAGCAGACTCATCATTGATTATTTTTTTTCTTCTCACTTGAGCCTTCTGCTTCCTAACTCTCATAATGATTACTCTCACTCACTAACTCACTCACTTACTCTCGGCTTTGTCCCTTGGGTAGGCTTTAGTTGGATTTACTAAGCCATAGGAACATGTTCTCTCATTGATTTTCTCTCTGTACTCCCCCTCAACTGGATCACTCGGTATGCTTTGTCATTGTTAGGCACCAGGGAGGATAACATTGAACACTCCCCCTAAAATGTTGCATCCGTTGAGAGATTCCTTGCTTTATCGGTGTAAGGCGCCAGGAGGAGAAAATCTGAAACTCCCCCTCAGAATGTGCAAGGTTTGATTGCTCACAGCTCGTCATACCCGCCATGTGTGTGGAGCAATCTGAACAAGTACCACACATGACGGTTTTCCTGAGCTCATCATGTAGAATTTCAGCATATTGATGATCACATAATGTTGATGAGTCAGGGGAGGCTTCAGTGGTTGATTGTTGATTGTAGTAGAAAGACCGTTGACGCGAGGTTGATTGAGTTATCTACGGTTTTCGGACCTTAACATTGGAGCATAGAAAAGCTTTGACCTCAGGGTTGACATTGAAAGAATTTGAACAGGTTTGCCTAAGTTTTGACCTGGACATCGGTGATTTACAATATTTGTCAGAAAACTAACGTTTTGACCCTCAAAGACTGCGAGTGAGGGCGTGTGAGATAGGGTTCTGGGGAATAGCCCGAGAATTAATGTAGATCTTTTCGTTATCTTTCCAACAAAAAAGTTTGCTCAAATCGGATCACCGAGTCAAAAGTTATGGCCAAAACAGTGCGGTGACACAAACTCTATTCTGGATCCGTCTGTGCCGGTACGTCTATGCTAGTCTATGCTGGTACGTCTGTGCTGGCACGTCCCTTCAGGGCCCATCTTTGCTGGTATGTCTGTGCTGATACGTCTCCCGGGGTAGCCAGCCCTCCTACCTGGTTGACGGGGGTGATGAGATGAATCGTTCCCTCCTTCCCGGAATGAGTGTTCCCGGGAAGGCCTCCTTCCTGGCTGTCGTGGCTAACTTGCCGGGACACATACTCTATTCGGGATCCGTTCGTGCCGGTACATCAGTGTTGGTCCGTGCTGGTGCGTCTGTGCCGGTACGTCCCTTCAGGGCCCATCTTTGTTGGTATGTCTATGCTGATTCGTCTCCCGAGGTAGCCAGCCCTCCTACCTGGTCGATGGGGGTAATGAGACGACTCATTCCCTCCTTCTCGGGATGAGTGTTGCCAGGAGGGCCACCTTCTTGGCTTCTCAACTTGTCGGGACACGTACTCCATTCGAGATCCATCATGCCCTGAGTGTACGAGCATGGTGTATGGCACCGAGCATACAAGCGTCTGAGGTGATAGCTCCTAGCGTGCTCGACCTCGTGATTGTGCTCCGGAACCACGATCAGTTGGCATACACATAAAATTTTGTAGAAATCTCAAATTTATATTTTTATTGTTCAAGGGTTGTCCCTTGTTGAGCGAGTGAGGTCCGTGCCCATCTTTGGATGAGGCTTCGAACTGAGGAGAAGTCTGCTGCTCGTGAGGGAGACCCTCAACCACCATTTTCGCTCGAGCTGCCTCCATCCATTGCTGTCGCCGGACGGAGTTGAAGGTGAATCCCTGTCGCTGAGGTCAGCCGAAAAGAGCTTGTGTAGTCCTCGGTTCGTACGGATAGAGGAGATAGAGAGCGATGGCAAGGCTCCGTCTGCGTCACGTGTGAAACCCGCTCGTCAATCCCAGGAACCTCAAGCGGCCATTAATGGCAAGGCTCCGTCTGCGTCCGCCGTTGCTCAGTTCTCCCGGTCGTTCGTCGCTCGGGTTCTCCTTGGTTCAACCTTGGTGGCTGCGTATCCTTGGGACCTAATCTGGAAAATTTCATATCTGATTTTTGCTCGAATCTCTACCGGTTCCTACCAAAAAAATGAGAGATGACTCTCAATGAAAGCACCAATGTTGGTAGAAAATACCCCGAGTAGAGAAACTAGCAGCATTTCAGTATAGTAAAAATAGCGTAGAGAATACAAGGGGGTGATGGCCTATTTATAGGCATCCATCACAAGTCCAAAGTCTAATCTACGTGGGCTTGGCCCAAATACATAATACATGTCCAAGCTAATGGGCGAATCGCCCCGATAAATAAGTAAATGAGCAATGGGTGATTCCCGTTCGTGAGACTGCGTCTTGGACCTAGTTGGGCCAAAGCTCGGGGATAACGGGCCGATGACACTAGGCCTGGCATATTGATATTATCCCAACACCGTAATTCAATCTTTTCTGTTTTATTAGGAGGCCATGCACGTAATTAATTCTTTAACTCAATTGACTATATTCTTTCATTTTAATCATCATCTCCATCATTACTGTACTCTAGAAAATACGGAGTATCAAGGGAAAAAAAGATAAAGTAGCTAGTTTGCTTTTTATATACCACGCTGCTTTGACTATAAGCATTTGGTTGATAACTTGTTATTATCTTTGTTTAATTATTTCAAGAATTCAATTCCATACCTATATAAATATACATATGGAGACATCAGATCAAACACTAATTTAAGCTACATCGATCCCTGCATCTTCGATCATCTTTATTAGCAATTTCGACCTCTTATTCTATACTGCCAATAACATGGAACAACGCCAGTTACAGCCTCCCACCAGCAATGTTTATGAACAGGTTAATAGTCCTCATCAAGAAGATCTGCTCCGCCGGAAGGAGAAGCGCAAGAAATTACTCGTATGGGTAGTCCTCTTCTTCGTAATTCAGTGTCTGGTAATCGTATTCTTTGCCGCTGTGTACATGAAGGTCAAGCCGCCCAAATTCCGGCTCCGCTCAGCCACACTCCATGGCTTCGTTTCTTCTCCGAATAATTCCTCGTTCCGAGGGACACTGAATGGTACAATGGGAGTGAAGAATCCAAATTTCGGGTCTTTCAAGTACCCAAACAGCTCAGTTCAGTTCTTTTATTTGGGGTCTTATCTTGTCGGGGAGGCCCATGTGGTAGGTTCCAAGGCTGGGATTAAATCTACCAAGAAAGTCAACTTTCAGGTCAACCTGTTGTCAGACCATATCACTGCTACCGACCATAAGCAGCGCCTTCAGAGCGATCTGAACTCCGAGAACTTGACGTTGACCGTGCGGTCAACGTTGAAGGGAAGGGTTAAGTTAATGTTCGGCATGATGAAGAAGAAGAAAAGCAGTGAAATGGATTGCACCCTCACCATTGATTCCAGCAACAAAGCAATCCGAGAGTTCAAATGCAAATAGCAGCATTTGAACTGATGATAATAGTATGTGCTTGATGATGATGATTTTGTTTTTATTTTTATACATACTGTATTTCTTGTTATTATTTTCTTCTCTGTTCGATCAATCCGTGCATGCCTGTTATCCATATCATTTGTTTTCAGTGTGTATGTAATTCTTGCATGATAATAAAAATTTCATATTTTGGTTTTTATTGAGTAGCCAAAGTCTTATATACGGAGTATATTAGTTTATTTTTATAGTTTTCATAGTGTTAAACAAATACTCCCTCCGTCCCTGAAAATTCTTCCCACTTTGACTTGGCACGGAGATTAAGAAAGTGGAATAAAGTGGAAATGTGTGGTTGTAGTGGTATAAGAAAAAGGTGAACTAATGTGAATCTACCTTTATTTTTATAGTTTTCTGGTGTTAAACAAATACCTTAATACGGATATATTTAGAATTTATTTTTTTGTTGTTGAAAAATGTGTTAGTTAACATAATTTTTATGACCTTTTTGTAGACTCTTTTCTACAAAGTTTATAATTGATGCGTCCAAATCCAATGACCAAATATAAATCTCTCTCCCATTTTCCTCTTAGATACTTCACAAAATCCGCCCCTCCGAGTGGCGGCTCTTCTCTTATAGTACAAAAGCCGCCACTTCAAGTGGCAGCTCTTCTCTTACGTCTCATTTTGTACATATATAAAACATAGTATGTTTCAAGAATTTGTTTAACTCCCTTCCTGATTGAATTTTGAGTTGAAACTTGGTATGCATAAACAACACTTGATGAGGAACACTCCGGAAGGAAAATATTTTCACGGGCCCAGTTTTGCAGACTCTCCGGTATAACGAATGATTCGGGCGACCACCGTTACACGAACGGAACCACCGGTGGTTGAAAAATTCGTTCGTAGTTGCTCGTTAGGTTGTGGTACTGCAACGTAAAGGATTTGGGGTCCTTTTCTTTAATTACCTGGAGAGCTGCGGTTGTTGACCCGATATTCAATGCTTCGGCGTATACTTGAGCAGCGGACTGTTTACAACCTCTGGCGGATCTTCCGTCAATCTGGAACTCACCCCATTGGCACACATCACCTCCCTTCTCAATGTATTCCTTGACGTCCGTCGAGGATTTTGCACCTTGAATGTTGGGATGGAAAGCACCCCGCCGTTCTGGAACGGTGATGTCGAAGAATCTGCTGTTTGTGCAGCAGAACCGTCCTTCGAATTGTAACAGGGCGTGGAGATGGGGTTCTCTGTTAGCGTGGAGTTCCCTGCAGATTTTGATGAATTTGAGTGTTGTGGGATAATGGAGATTTTTCAGGAATTCCATCGCTTGATTTTTCGGAACAGAACATCTCGGATACGTGAAGAAATAATTTTTTGAATTTATTTTAAATCGGTTCGGAGCCTTTACGGAGTGTCACTCTTTGGTGCCACTCTTTCGCCCCGGAGCAAACTTCTGAAATGAAAGAGTGATAAGGGGACAATATATAGGGGGAGGGCATCCTGTTAATATTACCAAGAAAGTCAACTTTCAGGTCAACCTATCGTTAGAAAATATCACTGCTACCGACCATAAGCAGTGCCTTCAGAGCGATCTGAACTCCGGGAACTTGACGTTGACCGTGCGGTCAACATTGAAGGGAAGGGTTAAGTTAATGTTCGGCATGATGAAGAAGAAGAAAAGCAGTGAAATGGATTGCACCCTCACCATTGATTCCAGCAACAAAGCAATCCGAGAGTTCAAATGCAAATAGCAGCATTTGAACTGATGATAATAATATGTGCTTGATGATGATGATTTTATTTTTAGGAAAATTCTATGGTACATCTCTAAATTTCGCATGTACGGTACATTTCTTTACGTAGGCAAATAAAACAATGCCACATGGACATTAAAATTCATATACATTTTAATTATTTCCATTTTCTACAATATTATTGGTCCACGTACGGTACAATTAAATTAACGGGTGCACCGTAGAACTCCCCTTATTTTTATTTTTATACATACTGTATTTCTTATTATTATTTTCTTCTCTATTCGATCAATCCGTGCATGCCTGTTATCCATATCATTTGTTTTCAGTGTGTATGTAATTCTTGCATGATAATCAAAATTTCATATTTTGGTTTTTATTGAGTAGCCAAAGTCTTATATACGGAGTATATTGGTTTATTTCTATAGTTTTCTAGTGTTAAACAAATACTCCCTCCGTTCCTGAAAATTCTTCCCACTTTGACTTGGCACGGAGATTTAGAAAGTGGAATAAAGTGGAAATGTGTGGTTGTAGTGGTGTAAGAAAAAGGTGAAATAATGTGAATCTACCTTTATTTCTATAGTTTTCTGGTGTTAAACAAATACCTTAATACGGATATATTTAGAATTTATTTTTTTGTTGTTGAAAAATGTGTTAGTTAACATAATTTTTATGACCTTTTTGTAGACTCTTTTCTACAAAGTTTATAATTGATGCGTCCAAATCCAATGACCAAATATAAATCTCCCTCCCATTTTCCTCTTAGATACTTCACAAAATCCGCCCCTCCGAGTGGCGGCTCTTCTCTTATAGTACAAAAGCCGCCACTTCAAGTGGCAGCTCTTCTCTTACGTCTCATTTTGTACATATATAAAACATAGTATGTTTCAAGAATTTGTTTAACTCCCTTCCCGATTGAATTTTGAGTTGAAACTTGGTATGCATAAACAACACTTGATGAGGAACATGCTCAAAAAAATTCATCAAAAAATTACACCGAAAACACCCTCTTATGGTGTTGTTCGCGGGGGGTTTCGGCCAGGACGTCATGACAAAAGGGTGGTCCGACCACCTCAATTTGACTAGACATGATGAATAACATACACACAAAAATTCAGCAAAACATCTCACCGGGAATCACCTCAAATTGAGGTGGCCGGACCACCCTTTTGTCATGACGTCCTGACCGGAACACCCGCGGACAACACTATAAGAGGGTGTTTTTGGTATAAGTTTTTGATGAAATTTTTTGAGCATGTTCCCCATAAAATTTTGTTTATGCATACCAAGTTTTAGCTCAAAATTCAATCGGGAAGGCATTTAAACAAATTCTTGAAACATACTGCGTTTTATGTATGTACAAAATGGGATGTAAGAGAAGAGTCGTCACTTGAAGTGGCGGTTTTTGTACTATAAGAGAAGAGACGCCACTCGGAGTGGCGGCTTTTGTGAAGTAATACAAGAGCCTCCACTTGGAGTGGCGGCTTTCCTTAACCGTGGTTAATTCCAGCAGTATTTTGGGAATTACTCTTAACCCGGCAGTATTTCGGGAATAATTTATTTAATTAGCATTATTCCAGAAAAAAACTCTGTATTTGTTGGGATTTTTCACTCATTTTGACATTGCTTTTGCTTGAGGTTTTCATATAATGGTTCTATTATAGGTACTCCAATTTTGATTTATTTTTCCTTCATTACCGAGACGATAAATATCAATGACTCAGGTATTTCAGATTTTATTCATATTTTTTTTTTAAAAATAAACCTAACTGACTATTTATTGAGGACTTGTAAGGGGAATGAAAATAAAGAGGTAACAGAAGCATGAAGCCATGCTTCTGATTCTAAAAATTCTCCTCCTCCTTGAAGATGTTTTTTAGCATCTGACATATCTGCTAATGGTTTGAGGATTCATGGTGGAAAGGGCAATTTACAAATTAGCAGCCGGTTAAGCTAATGAATTGTGATAGAGTATATCTAGAGAGAAGTGAGAGCTAGAGAGAGAAGTGCAATAATATGCTTCAATAGAATGATTTCGTCACCCCTATAACTACTCCCAAGGGGAGTATTTATAGAGAAAATTAGGGTTGGGCTCCCAAGCCTTGGGCTTGGGAGGCCCATTTACAACTGGACCGCTACTGGGCCGAATACAAAGCCACTAATGGGCTGTACAAGTGAGCAAGTGTAGGATCCGATTCTGGGAGGTCCTCGTGGCCGACGAGGTCGTGGCCGACGAGGGCACGGCCGACGAGGGCGCCACTCTGTCTTGTGCTCTGTTCTTCCGAGTATGTGGGTCCTGGGGCTCAGACCCATATACTCCATCAGGAGTCCCCCACTCTCTAAGCTGAGACGTAGACGAAGTGAAGGAGAGTAGATTTCTGTGCTGTTGCTTTTGGCCGACGCGGGCATTTCCAGGCCGTTAGCCGTTGTGGCGTTGGCGTTGTTTCCTCTCTGGTGATCCTATTCTGTGCTTTGGCCGTTACCTGTTCCTTGCTGTGGGCGGGGAGGCCGTCATTTCCTTAATGTGTTTTGGGACGATGAGTGTCCTTCCTTCAATGGTGGCCGTTGAGGGCGCGCTTTCCCTTTCCTGGCCGTTGGTGTTTGAAGTTTACGTTTGGGCCGGTGAGGCCGTTGAGGTTGTTCCTTTGTGTTTTTGGCCGAAGAGCCCGTCAAGATTAATTGTTGGCGGAGGACGATGAGTGTCCTTGCCTCTAGTGGCTTGTTGGCCGTTGCTAGTGACGTTATGGGCCTTTGGCCGATGAGGTTCTGTTGTGCTGTATGGATGATGTGGCCATGTTTTGTGGTTACCTTGTTTATACCTTTGTTTCGTTGAGGCCGGTGTAGTCCCCCAGTCCCCCACTGCTTCAGGCCGAAGAGAGTGAGGGGTGAAGGAGTTGCCTGAGTCCTTGGCCGAAGCGGTCTCGCCGTAGCCTCCCTGAATCCAACTCTCATGGCGATTTTCTGGCCAAGGTAACCCTGTGGGAGAACCCTTGTGCGCAGATCGCTTGTAGAGAGTTATCATCAAGGGTTATTACGAGGAGCCGAAGGCTGTGGGCTATTTGTTCCCTTTGTTCTGTGGCCGTTACGTACCTGGCCGTTGCCATCCTCTTATTGTTTGGCATTTGTGATATTGGTGAGCAAATGGGACGTTGAGGGCGCTTGCTGGCAGTTGTAAAGCCGTTGAGCGTGTGTAGGCCGTAGAGTCTGATTTGCCAGTGGGCCGTTGATATGGGTTGGTCCTGGCCCGTTGGTGACGTGGTGGCCCCCCAGTGGTGGCCGTTGATGTGGCCATTTGGTGAGTGCCACGTGTAGTGACCGTTGGTGGGGGGGTCTATAAATACCCCTTCCCCTCCGACGAAGAATCACATTTGCATTCTGAATTTGTCGAAGTGCTGGCCGATTTTCTAGAGAGAGAAACTCCCAAGCCTGTTCTTCGTGTTCTTCATTGTTT